AGGCGGGTCTCGAACCTGCGGGCTCAGGCAGTCCACTCACCTCAGCCTCCCAAAGGCGCGAGATTACAGGCTGAGCCACTGAGCCCAGCTATTTTTTTATTTATTGTCAAGGTCTCACCAAGTTGCCCAGGCTGGTCTTGAACCTCTGAGCCCAGGCAATCTTCTTGTGTCAGTCTCCCAAAGTGCTGGAATTATAGACTTGAGCCACTGCGCCCAGCCGGAGTAGGAGGTTTTAGTGCCTGCAAGCCTGGAAACTGATTGCATTTTGTTAAATGTAGTCAGGGGAAATAAAGTTGCTTCTCACTTAGGGCCTCGTCATTTTTTAGTGAGTTGTGTATTCATGTGGTTCTGACACGACACATCAGAGACACTGAAGAAGACAGTTGGAGTGTCTCTGTGTGCTCACGCCTCCAAGTGACCAGGTGCGGTTACCTGAGTGCACCCGTGGGCAGGGGACGTCTAGAGAAAAACCCAGGATAGGCAGGCCTTGTCTTCTGTGTTCTGTTTGCAGGTGAATCTATGTTTATTAAAAACTCAGATGCAGTGCTCTACAGTGTAGAGACAGCACTCTTGCTCGTGACCCGGGAAAGGGAAAGGCTTGTAACTTCCACAATACAAAGGTGAAACGGGTCTGGGAAGCAGAGGCCACGGCAGAGTGACTAGTGTGCACTCCTTGTGCTGAGCGCACTTGCAGCCCTTTCCCCAGATTGGCCCTTGCCAGAGGCTGTCTTTAATGCTGCTGCTCCTTGCCCCTAGCTGAAGACTGTCTTTAATGCTGCTGCTCCTTGCCCCTAGCTGTTGACCAGGGTCTCCAGACAGACGCTGGCCCCCGGCACCTCCCACTGGAGGCCTGCTTGCTCCAACCCCGTGTTTTCTCTCCTTGCAGCTTGTTCTGGACTCTCAGAAGCGAGTCTTCTCCTGGGGCTTCGGGGGCTATGGCCGGCTGGGCCACGCAGAGCAGAAGGATGAGATGGTCCCCCGCCTGGTGAAGCTGTTTGACTTCCCTGGACGTGGGGCATCCCAGATCTATGCGGGGTACACCTGCTCCTTTGCCGTCAGCGAAGTGGGTTAGTGACGTCTTTCTGTCTGTGACTTGGGAGGAAGATGTCTAGGACCAAGTTGGGGTTCTCCCTCCCTTGCAGACCTGTGCTCCTGTGGGGAACCACATAGCTGTGTCCTGTCCTGACACCATGAATGCTGGTTCTCTTGACTTCCCTGGTCCCTTTTTTTTCTATAAAGGAGATGGTTTTTTGCTGGGTTTTGCCCAGATTGGCCTTGAACTCGTGGGCTTGAGTGGCTTCCTTCACCTAAGCCTCCCAAAGTGCTGGGACTACAGGTGTGCGCCCCTGCACTCCACTAATTTAAGAATTTTGTTTTTGTAGAGATGGGTTCTTGCTGTGTTGCCCAGGCCATCCTTGAACTCCTGACCTCCAGTAATCCTTCTGCCTCAGCCTCCCAAGTAACTGGGACTATAGACATCCACCACCATGCTGTGCTCTAGTGTTCTTTTAAGCAGATTGCTTGCGTATTATCCAGTCCTGATAGTGCTGAAGGTGTCGTCCACTCTTAATGTCTGCTCACAGTGGGAACATGTCTTGTCTTCCTCCAGGAGGTCTGTTTTTCTGGGGGGCCACCAACACCTCCCGTGAGTCTACCATGTACCCAAAGGCAGTACAGGACCTCTGTGGCTGGAGAATCCGGAGCCTGGCTTGTGGGTAAGTGGCAGCGTCTCCTGGCAGATGCAGCATCTTCCTTCCTCCGGGCTCTGTTCCTGCTCATTGAAGAAGGGGGGAAGGGTTCTGTAGCTCCTAGAACAGTGCTGTGATCTGTCTTCATCGAAAGAAAGTTTTTGTTCTTCAGAGAAACACACGCAGAGCTTGGAGTGTTCTTGTGTTGCAGTTTGAAAATTATCCTCAGCCGGGCTCAGTGGCTCAGCCTGTAATCCCGCGCCTTTGGGAGGCTGAGGTGAGTGGATTGCCTGAGTCCGTGGGTTTGAGACCCGTCTGGGCAACTTGGCGAGACCTCATCTCTACAATAAAATTCAAAAACTAGCCGGGCGTGGTAGCGTGCGCCTGTAGTTCCAGCTACTTGGAAGGCTGAGGCGGAAGGATCGCCGGAGCCCAGCAGGTCGAGGCTGCGGTGGCTGGGAGCGGCCACTGCACTCCAGTCTGGGCGACAGTGAGAATCCAACTCAGAAAAAAAAAAAGAAAAGAAGAAAATTATCCTCAACTGGAAACAGTAGGGTCTTAGTTATGCTGACATGTTGGGAAGGGGGTGAGGATCTTGGCAGTGGTGTCTCTCAGTTTAAGGACACCTGTTGAGTTATTTAGCACTTCTTGGAGATGAGTTTGATAAATCAATTGGCAGGTGTCAGGAGCACTGTGGGTAGGGTGTCAGTGTAGTAGGGATGTCAGCACAGTGAAGAGGGCAGCGTGGCTTTAGTTTTGTTCAAGCTGCTTTGTGTAAAGGCCACGCTCCTTTGGAATGCGCTTCCTGGCTGATTTGGTTCCCTCTTCCAGAGTGACCTCCCACTGAGAGCCATGGAGCCGGCGAAGTCCCCTGCCTTTGGCTTTAGCTCTAAGGGCTCTGCCATTTTGGGGGGGTGCAGGAGAAGCACACTGGCCCCTTTGTTGGGTTTGTTTTTTGGAAATGAGTGACCCATAGGTGTTAACGAGCTGTCCTTGGTTTTAAAAGCCAGTAACTCCCACCTATGTTCTTGAGCCGTGAGCCAGGCCAGCAGGCCCAGTGCTGGGGCTGCTGGACCTGGAGTGACAGCCTGCCCATTTTCAGGAAGAGCAGCATCATTGTGGCCGCAGACGAGAGCACCATCAGCTGGGGCCCATCACCGACCTTCGGGGAGCTGGTAAGATGGCCCTACAGGACGGAGCTGGGCGGGGCGGCTCCGCTCCTGGGTTCTCCCCAGCTGCCTCCATACACATGCAGAAGAAAAGTGGGTGGACTTTTTTATTTTTATTTTTTTTTGCAATAAGATCTTTGGATCCCATGAATTTTCAAGGACAGTTCTGTGCCGATCAGATAATTAGGGAAGTCATCTCTGCACGTTGGTAAAATGGGGCCATTGGCAAATCTCGGGTCCAGTTTGCCCTTGCGTTTTGTCCGCCATGGTCAGGATATGATGGTGGTGCTTCAGTGATAGGAAGGGAGCCCGTATCTTCTGTCTCTGTGGGGATTTAAGCCAATGGGAAACTGTCATTTTTAACTGTATGGCTGGTTGAGCGTATACCACCTTCCCAACTTTTTTTCCTGTGTCCTCAAAGTTCAGCCTGGTAAGCAGCACTGGCCACTTGTCTGTACGCCACAGAGCAGTGGTCTGCCAGGCCAGCCTTGTAGGGGGTCTAGGGACAGCTCTTCCCTTGTTTCTCCTGAGTGGAGTATCAGTGTTCCTGTTTCTAATCCCAGTTTTTGAGTGCTGCGGTAATAGATCAGCAGTCCTCAGTTTCACATATGTGACCTTCCCAGCCAAACACCTTTTGTCCTTAGGCCCTCGTCTGGGTGGGTCTCTAACTCTTGAGTTTTTGTTCTGAAGAGTCGCCTGACTGTGGAGCGCATCCTGATAGCCTGCCTGCTCTGGTCACAGTTTGGTCCTTGGCTCGGCTTGTGGTAGCTGGCCATAGTTCATTTTCTTATTTCTTGCCAGAAATATGGTCTGACTCCCTCCTCATTCTCCTGTGGCCAGAGTTGACCTGGTTGATCAGGGAGGAGGGGCAGGAAGGGCTTTCCTTGGTCCCTTGAGCCAGGGCTGGGGTGGATGATGAGCATGTCTTGTCCTCAGGGCTCCTCACAGCCTTGGAGCTTGGCTTGGAGGGAGTCTATACGCCGCAAACACTCACTGGCCCCTTCAGAGGGGCCTGACTGGAAACCTTAAGGAAGAGGCAGAACCTGGCCTGGTTTCTGTGGATTGTTCTTAGGGAAGGACAGTGTTGTTTTTTTTTGCCTATCAGAAATAGGCTTGACCTAAATAGGAATTTTAAAATAACAGGAATATAAGGGGGACTTTTGGGGAAACCACTTAGGTAAGGAGATGGCCTGGCACCCTGGGGGAACATCCACTGTATGGGAGGGGGTCCGCAGAGGGGGGAAGCCAGGGACACACAGCAGCCTGGGCTGGGGGAGGTCTGCAGCCCTAAAGTCACCTGGTGTCACACCTTTGCAGGGGACTCCCCTTAGCAGTCCTTGGCCAGTCTCTCTGTCTCTGGGAGGGGCCTCTGGTAACCTCAGAGTCATGAATGATAGGAAGCACTCTTTCATGCTGAAAACCTCGTGGTGTGGATGATGGGTACTTGACCCTCTAGTTCCTGGTCTGCAGGGTTCTTGATGACCTTGTGGTCCTGAGGGGCTGCCGTTGCTGTTCTTCCTGGGCTCGTGGTATCACCTGTCGCCGCACTGCTCTCTGAAAGGGATCCATTGTCACATGAGCCCCACAGGTCAGAATCTAGCTGCTCAGTCCTCAGGTGAGGAAGTGGTTGCCTGTTGGCAGCTTTGGGGAATAAGCGTTGGTGACTCCACCTGGCCCTCGTGTCCGAGAGTGGCTGGCCTTGGTCCCCAGCCAGCAGGTGCCATCTGGCTCCAGGTTGGGGTACCTGGAACTTGCTGCATTCCCCTTTCTTTGGACTGCACCACGGGGGTGCCCATCCTGTGAGCATCTCGTTTGCTTCGCCAGGGCTACGGGGACCACAAGCCCAAGTCTTCCACAGCAGCCCAGGAGGTGAAGACCCTTGACGGCATCTTCTCGGAGCAGGTGGGTGTGGGCTGAGCTAGCCAGGGCAGGCGGCACCAGGAGCCAGAGGGGACACATCTGGCCGCTGCCACCTGTTCAGGGTATCTTGTTGGACATCTGCCACCGCACTTGGGGATTTCTGGGGGCAACAGCCATCAGCAGGAGAAAGAGACGAGATGGCACAGAGGAGTGCCAGCCAGGCTTGGGCAGTCCTCGGCCTTGACGACACGTGCCCCGTCCAGCCACTGTGGATTCCCTACGCAGCCAGAGCCTCACTCGTGTCTTCATCGTCCCTACTCGGATACGCCAGACTGGGGGTGGGTCACCAAGTGACACTGTGTGAGGCAGGCAGTGGATGAGGCCCTGCTGCTGTCAGCCAGGCTGCCAGCCCTCAGTAAGCACCGTGACAGGCGTGCCCCTCACCCAGGTGGGTCTGTGGTCCAGAGAGGCAGGGGGAGCCATGTCCCCATCAGCAGATGGTTCAGTGGCTTCCTTCCAGCTGGGTCTTCCCATGGTAGTCTGGAAGGCGTTCAGTGGCATGGCATTGGTGATGGGTCACGTGGAGACTAGCCATCTTTAGTAAAGGGTCTTTGTGCAGTTTTAAGAGTCCTCCTTTTTTTTGTTTTTTTTACTTCTAAAAATTTATTTATTTAGTAGAGATGAGATCTTGCTGTGTTGCTCAGGCTGGTCTCAAACTCTTGGGCCCCACCCCCAAAGTGCTGGGGATTACAGGTGTGAGCCAACCCACCTGGCTTTTTTTTTCTTTTTTGTAGAGACAGGTCTTGCTGTTTTGGCCAGGCTGGTCTCAAACTCCTGGTCTTGGGTGATCCTCCTGCCTCGACCTCTTAAATTGCTGGGATTACAGGTGCTGCGAGCCCCATGGCTGACCTCAGGTCTTCCATTTTTCTCCATACCGGCCTCTTTGCCAACCCAGCCTCCCGCTGGCTGTGGTGCCCTGGCACACCTGCCGCTAATCTGTTCCCACAGGTCGCCATGGGCTACTCACACTCCTTGGTGATAGCGAGAGATGAAAGTGAGACTGAGAAAGAGAAGATCAAGAAACTGCCAGAATACAACCCCCGAACCCTCTGATGTCCCGGGGACTCTGCTCCACCCCTCTCGCGGCAGCTGTCATTTCCATGTGCACTGGGACGGGAAGTCGGTCGAGGAATTTACACAAGCAAACGTCAGCCGAAGGCGCATTCTGTTAGACTCCCCGGGTTCCGTTTCATAAGTGACCCAACATCAACTACCTTTCTCTGTGTGCTTTCCAAAGTATGTTTTTTTCTCTTAATGTTGAATTAAACTATTTGCTCATAGTTGACTTACCATTCCTACAAGAGGCAGAAACTTTGAGCAATCTAGGTTTTTTTTAAGTTGTTTCTCTTTTTTTCCCTCCTAAATACAATCCCTAAACACCCCTTCTGATAGTGACTCGTTTTGTGACCCGAGTGGGCGCTACATGGAAGAGGGGTCTCTGTGTATGCAGAAAAAGGTCCCTTGCGGGAACTGGTCACATCCAGGAGACAGTCCAGTTGGTACGTTTCCATCCAGAGCCACACTGTGTGCTTTGGAATCATCCAGTCACTCCTGCCTTGTCTCGCGGGCCAGCCTGTGGCTGCAGCGTTAATAGAACCTGCTGCTTCCCTCCCCCGTGGGGGCTTTGGGGTCTGTGTTTAGGCATTTATATCTGCTTAGCTGTAAACAAAGTCCAAATACAAATCAAGTGATGGAGCCACAGGGACTTGGGTGGGCAGAGGTGGGCGCCTTTCTCTGCGACGGTTCGGCCTTGTGGCTTCCGGACATGCCAGGCCTCGCTGCCAGCGCCCGTCAGGTTGAGGTTGGCCACCACGCACCTGCAGTCCTCGTGGGGACAGCCTCTCGCAGTCTCCGCCGCCTTTGTGCTTCGGTCTTTCTCTCCCCGCCTGGATCCTGCCCAGGTCCTGATTCTGAGACCAGATGCCGTCCTGCCAGCCCCGCTTTCTTTAGTCACGCTTGCTTGGCTCTGGTACCAAATAGCCGGGCTCACTGAAGAGTCCCCTTCCTCGCGTGTTGGCGCCCCTGCCGTGGCTGCCTCCGCGTCCCCGGCAAGTGCCCTGTGCCCGAGCTCGCCTCCGTGTGTGCTGCACTGCGCGAGCTATGAGGTGCCTTTCCCGGAACCCTCCTCTTGCTTGGACCCAAGATGGGCCACAGCCCCTCTGGGCTCTTGGTCTCCAGGGGGTCTGGACTGGTTTGGGTGCTTTAAAATAGATTTTTAGTTCCGTGGTGCTTATGGGGGAGATGGGTTAGAACTTAAGTGTGAGACTTGGGTGGATGGGAAAGTTCAATAATTGGTCTTCTCAATTGTTTGTGTTTTGGTTTCTTTTGCTTTTGCTGTTGTTACCACTTGTCCTTGTCTTGATGTTAAAATGCCAAAAATGATCTAGTTGTTGTTGCTTCCACCCCGGTCACTCCTTCCAGTGACTTCTGCCTTCACGAGGCACATGGCAGTGTCTGTCCCGGGCAGTCCCAAGGCCTTGTGGGAGGAGTTTGGCCCGTGTCTTTCTGAGACTTGGTGTGATTTCATGCTCATCTCTGCTGTTCTGTGTTCGAGCAGTAGTCCAGGGGAGAAGCTTCTGCAACTTCAGAGCTTTGCTAACTAACCTAACTTGTCCAGATCACCCACGACCGCCATCTCTGACTCAAGCTCCACGTGGCCACCTGATTGGTTTCCCTGGACAGGTCTCTTTCCTGGAATGCGCTCAGGCACCTGTGCTCCTGGACCCTCAGGTTGTGCGACCCCAGAAGGGTTGAGGAAGCAGCACCCAGGCCCCAGCCCTTCCCGAGCTGCCCAGGGCGGCCCGGGCTTGGTAAAGCCTCCAGTGGGCTCGCGAACGCCGGCAGCCGGCCTCTTCTGGCACCCCCCCAGGGGCTGGAACAGCTAAGGGGCCTTCCAGATCAAGAAGGCCCTGCTCCAGTCCCCACTCCTTTTGGCTCAGCTCTTAACACGAACTTCCCAGCGGGGACAAATCTTGAAACAAGGAGGTGGGGGTGGGGCATGCTGCATCCTAGAGAAAGGTACACGGTGACTGCTGGGAAGCCTGCCTGGCGCTGGCCCAGAGTGTCTGCCCAGCCTTCTGGCCCAGGAAGGAGAGTTTGAAAGAAGAGGCTTCGCATGAAGGGGAGTTGAGGAGGAGGTTGTGATTTGGTCGAAGGTGCCTGGTTTAGTGCTGTAATTGTCTTACTTTTTTTTATATATATATTTCTTGGAGCAAACGTTTTAAATAAACATCATTGTTTACTCTGTCTTGGTGTTCGTGTTTCTTTTTCAGCTGGAACCTAGCTTCGTTGCTCTTAACTCCTGTGGTGTGTCCCTGCGCCTCCCGCAGAAGGGGGGTCAGGAGAGAGGCGGGTCTGAGGGAGCAGCCAGGCTGAGCCACACGGGCTCAAGTGAGTGGGGCTCCTAGCTCTGCCCCTTGAGACGTGGGGACAGTGTCAGCGCCTCCCTTGTTCGGCCCGGAACGGGCGTTTTTCATAGAGTGGGGCGGCTGGTCGGTTGGGAGAGGTATCGGGGTCCTGCACTTGGGTGCGCTGTGCCCAGCCGCGGGCGCCCACCTCCCACCCCACCCCGTGCTCTTCCACGGGGCCTGTGGTCAGGCACTGCCTGCTCCTCAGACCGGCCGTGTGGCCATCTGCCCACCAGGGGGCCCATCCTGGGCTCAGGCCTCCAGCCCTTGGCTGCTGGCTTTTAGATGGGCATCTACACAGACCCCACTTCCTGTGACCATGAGTATGCCAGTGTGGTCATGAGAGACTCCTGGGTGCTGGCTGTTTATACTGTGAGACTGGCTCCTCCTGGTGGGCTTTGCTCCCGTTCTAGAGAGGCAGGGGCTGTCGCACAGCCCGTTAACGCAGCAGCAGCTCACAGGCTCATCCTGGGTCCTGCCCAATGGGAGCCATTGCTGGGGCAGCAGCCACAGAGTGAGCATGTTCTGGCTGTCAGGTGTCGCATCCGCACCCCGTGTAGGCTGCTGTATAACACCAGCCCCTGAGGGGGCGGGGCCGTCATTCCCTCTCACAGGGGGAAGTGAGATGCAGAGACACTGGCCTTGGCCACAGCCACAGCCACAGAGGGGCCACTGCTGAAAGGCCCCAGTAACAAAGATCCCCACCCCGCCCCGCCCCACACCTCCCTTCAACTTGCCCCTGGCTGTGGACAGGGAGTCCTTGTGGCCTGTGACCAGAGCCATCTCGGGGCCTGCGTTGGTACCCATGTAGGACCTGTGGGCATGGAGGGAAGGGGCTGGCCTGGAGCCCAGCAGGGCTGTGTCCTGAAGTGGATGGGAAAGGCTCCCCGAGCACACACAGCCAAGGAGTTTGCCCACCAGGGAGCTGCTGTCCTGCCAAGCGGCAACCTTGTTGGCCGATGTCCTTTGGCTCCTTGGGCACCTAGGGAGGAGTGACAGGACCAGAAGGACCAGGAAAGGGGAGGGGGAGCTCGCCTATTCTGCCTGATCCTGCCCCCGGGCCAGAGCATGTGAACTCCACCTGCCACCACCCTTGCTGGGGTACAGAGGGACAACGGTGCTGCCTCATCCCATGCTTGACACTAAACAGTAGCCCCAGAATCAGGCCCGACTTCAGGAAGCAGGGGAGGCAACGGGCATGGGGGAGAGGAGAAGGTAACATCCCTTAGACATCTTGCAGCCCTGAACTGCAAGATGGCCTGCTGGGGGGAGGGCATACGGGAGCTTTGGGATGCCCAAGACCCTCAGAGGCTCTTGCCCACTCGGTCCCCAGGCGCCTCCATCTGTGCCCTGGGTCCATCACGCAGGCACTGAGCAGTTCTGTTCACTGCTGCAGAGGGCCCCTGAGACTTCTAGAATAAGCCACCGACTGCCCCGTGCTCATCATCATTCTGGCTTTACATAAATGATTTGGGTCCTCAGCCCTCGAGGCAGGTACCACTTTTGCCCCCACTTGCGCTGGGGAGGAAACTGAGGCACAGGACAAACCCAGTCTAGCTTGAGATAGGGCTCTGTCACCCAGGCTGGAGTGCTCAGGCTGGAGTGCAGTGGCGCAATCATAGCTCACTGTACCCTCAGACTCCTGGGTTCAGGTGATCCTTCCACCTCAGCCTCCCAAGTAGCTGGGACTACAGGTGCAGATCATCCTCCCACCTCATTTTGTTTTTTGTGCCATCTGGGTCTATGTTGCCCAGGCTGATCCCTCCCCAAGTGCTGGGATTAGAGATGTGAGACACTGTCCCCGGCCACTTGTTTGCAGCTTCAGGGAATCTTTTTCTCTTTTGCTAAAAGGACAGTAGTACAAGCGTGGTGCCAAACGACCACTGGCCTTGGCAGGGGGACATGGTGGGGCAAGGTGGGGACTGGGGCCTGTTGGAACACAGAGGGTGTGACCAGTTAAGGCCTCAGCTTCGAGCCCAGAGTAGCCAGGTCTAGTGACTTGGCAGCAGGAGCCGGAAATGCAGACTTTGGGTTACTTGTCGGTGCCTGATTTAGAGACGTCCACACGGCAGCACAGACAAGCAAGCCCAGCTCTCTACAGCAGGTGTCTGCTCACAGGCAGGGCTGAAGGTGGCCCCCCTAGCAGGTGCCCGGCAGCACAGTGCGGCTGGGAGCCTGAGGTAGCAGCAGGAAAGAAGGGTTCAAGCTGCCGAGGCTGCCTGTGGAACTCTTACCCAGGCAGGGAGGGAAGGGCCCAGGGCTGAAGATCTTGGGTGAGGGTCTAGTGAGGGTCGATCCGGAGGCATGAACTCCCCCAACCCCAAGCAGCTCTCAGCTGCTGTGGGCGAGTCACCTGGAAAGGACCTCCTAGTCCCCCTTCCAGCCCCAGTGCTCTCCCCCTCAGGGGAAGCCCCAGCCCTTAGGCTCCAAGTCCTCTCTCTGTTGGCTTTTCCTGATGACTGGAAAAGACAGCCTGAACCCTCGGCTCCTCCAGCCCTCCGCATCTTTGAGTCACTTGAAGGCCTCATCCGTGTCATACCCAGGCTGGTCAAGGGGACGTGACCGTCAAGACAACAAGGTCTCTGGGGCAGACTGCAAGCCCTGAGTCACCGTGGCCATGTTAGCGAGATGCCATCTAAAGTTCTGGGCAGCTGGCACTCGCCCAAGCCAGAGCAGCTCTGAGATGGAAGCCCACACCTGCTTGGAGGCTGTGCCCTGGCACCCAGCTGCCTCCACTTCCCTGAAGTGACCTCGTGAGGTGGATCAAGAGCACTCAGGCTCCAGGTCCTATTCTCTGCTTTGTCCTGGCTGTGTGAACCTTGGGCAAGTCCCATCCCTGGACAGCTGTGTGGAGGATGGGGGCTGGAGAGAACCCACCTCAGGAGGTTGAGGAGACTCAGCGAACTGCTCTGAGCCTTACCATGGCTTGTACGTAAACTTCATCCTTTTGAGTCGGGGTCTCCCTCTGTCACCCA